TAATTACTCAAGTGTATATATTCTGTTCTGATACACTTGTTTTTAAATTTAAATTTAAAATTGTATAGATAACTAAAACTAAACCCAGACTCAATTCAGAAGCCCAAAAGCGATGCCAAGGAGAAGTCAGTCTAAGAGGCTTATTGCAGTGAGATTAGGTATGCGGCCGATAAACGGCCTAGCCTACAAAATAATCCATCGTATATGAGATACATTTGTGTTTCGACGATTTTTACGTACTGAAGTTTTTTTTCTTTATGTGAAAAGTTGGCAAGCGAGCAGGCTTATATAATCAGTTAACGTTAAGTGGTTACCGCCGCTAGTGGACATCTACATCACCTGAGGGGTTGCAGATTTTTTTCGCATGATTTCATTGACAACCATTAAATGGGCTCCAGTTACCACGGGATGAGCCCTTTCACTTCACGCCGGTCTTCTAGCAGAATATGGACGTAGTACTCCTTTGATAAGCTTACCTATTCTTACAACAACAATATAAACTTACAGCGTGACCTCACGGCAGCAAAGAAACCCTCAATGGCACTTAAAGGACATTTTGTAGGCACGGACAGTTAATATATGTAAATATAGCAACTTAGAAACCAATTTTGCTCACTGAGTGGAAAAGAAACGAATATGGGACAAGTAAAAGCAGAACTGTATGTATTATATTGTAGAATAATAATACTAAACTCACAAGATCAACAAGAAGTTGCTTTTTTACCTTATAAGAAGCATAACATTCATTTCAGTTAATCTAATTAAACTCTGATGCCGATGCGAACTCCGTATGCATTCCGATTTCGTTTCCAACCAATCGAATCTAACCTCAGATGGAGGGTCCTGTAACGGTTTCAATCGAAGATAATTTCATTAATCTCGCTATGCTCGAAACCCAATCTCGTCCTCATGCCGGGATGTACCGCCGCGCCGATGAGTCTCAATTTGCAAATTAGTTTCGATCTAAACACTGCAAATACTTAATCTGAGCGCTAATTGAACTACATCTGCTTTTAAATAGTTTTGGTTCTTGTTATGGTTCTTTAGTTAACATATTTCTTTTCCTAAATGTAGCATTAAAACCAATTTGAAATTCAAAATTTGCAAGCCTTTCAATTCAGTTTTTCACTGAAATTTTGCAGTTTTAATACGTTAAAAATAAGGAAAATCAATTAAAATATAGACCTTCTTACCTACTAACTTTAATATACAGCATGCAGTTATCCCGAAGGATAACTTTAAGGACCTCTTTATTTACACAAAGTTCATATGCACTTTAAATCAGACATACACTTGTCACCTTAGGAATCAAACCCACAACCCGTATTTAATAAATTAAATCATTTTCTGTCTATTATGACTGGTTCTAACTTGTTATCGTTAAATTTACATTAGTTCTGCACCAAAACCAACTTCGTGAAGTGGTGGCTTTGCACGTTCGTAGTAGTTAAGAAGGATACTTCCGCAAGCTTTCCGGCTCAGATTAAACGAACATTTAATTCTAAATTATAATCTGTACTATCTATATATGCACGGGGACAAAGTATGAACTAAACAAGTTTACATTTTTTCTGAGGGATAAACTATCGTGATAGGATCAAAGAAAATATACATCAAAGTAAGCAAGTTTCCCTGGATTTCTTTTGAAAATCTCCCCTTGTGCTCGATGCAAACATGTTAAGGGACTCGATAAAAGAACAATAGAAAACCAATGAGCTGTAAGTTATCCCCCACTGCCTTCGTAATGACAGAGGGGTCCGAAGTTTTTGCTAAAAAAGGAAACTTCCTTAATCACCGTACAAAACGGTTGCAAAGAAAACAAAATGCCATTAAAGACCAAACTAAAAATACGCCAGGTATCTTGATGTAATTTTATTGTAAATATATACCAGTATTAGGTATTTATATTTCCGGTGATTATTAATTTATGATATTAAATTCCCTATGAACCATCAAAATAATAATTATCCATGTTAATATGTAATATAATTTTAACTTTGCGTTTGACTGTATTCATTAGAGGCGCAAAATCTTCTTGTCAAAATACTGCTGCTGCTGGTCTTATTCAGTCTATGGGCAAATTATACCCATTATTGGATGATACCAGATTCAAATCCCTTATCGTGGAAAAAATTAAAACCCCAAACTCATTAAAATTTTTAGAAAAAGTACGAAACGATTGTCGCCGCTGTGGAATTTAACCCACGTCTTCGTACTTTTTCAACAAATTTTGATGTTTAATCTTAGGTGCATAGATTAGCACAATAAAAAAAGAAATTTAAAAACCCCAAACTCTCGATTATTTACTTTTAAGTATCACGAAGGTGTCATCTGTGGACGTAAAAATAAACAAATGCCGAAAACTCACCATTATTTAAAATTTTCTTACCAGATTTCATCTAGTGCTTTAAGATCAGTTTTCATAATTCACGTACTTATTCTTTTGGATAGTGGTTCTTCACCTGCATTAACCATTCACTCATAATTTGCTTAAACATTAACTAAAACATCTGTACTATAAACCTCCTCGAGGTTCAGCTTAACGAGTATTGAATGTATGCTTCTGCTGATAGGGGAAGCTTATGGGACATTTTCGTGCGTCCCCTTCTTAGAAAGGTTTTCTTAAGTGATTTCCAGTAGATTTAGCGTGAGCGATGTCAAAATTCTTTTAAATATCCAGCCTTCAACGAAAAATTTTGTTGGCCGTGATTTTTTTTTGTTCATCATAATCAATGATTTGTAAAAAAAATCTATTTCTTATGATATCTTATATACGTTTAGATTCATGTTTAAAATAGAAACGTAACTTGTCCGGTAAATGGCTTTAAATTTATAACCTTTGTTTCATCAACACAGAGAAGTCAGTACAGTGAAAAACGTTTTAACACGAGCTATAATATCTTAAACTTGTTTCTTTTTAAATGAATGAATAAATTTTAATGAATGATCACCGCTATTCAATTTCTCTTTCGTACAATAAATTCTTTCGTTCCAATTATTCCACGTAAGTTATTTAAATGTATTAAAACTCAATATCGATGGCACGCGCCACAGGGTAGCGTTTGGATTTGATATATAGGACATAGTCAGTTTAATGGTAATATGAAAATAGATATTACTTAAACGGTTGGCTGAACAGAAAGTTTTACGAGTTATTGAAGATTTTTCTTCCAGTATTTGAGATATTTATACTTGCATCATACACTTTGCCTCTTCGCCTGTTCCATATTCATACATTTGCGCATATTATTTTCGTCCGTTACCACTACGAGTAAATATTAATAAATATGTTAGTACCTATATTAACTAAGTATGATTGCTGTCTTAACATGTCGGCAAAGTACAAATACGACACACAAATGTACTGTTTTACATACATATCTTAAGAAAAAAGGGAATAATAACAGAAGAAGTAAAAACCCATGGACATCTACAACACCTAAGGGCTTGCAGATAAGAAACCTTTATAAAAAGTGGGCCCCAATTACCTCGTCCACCAGACGTACAGCTGCCCATTGGTGCAACAGCAGATGCAGATGCATCGGAAAAAAAGTGAAAGATTACATAGATAAAAAATTACGATGATTATGAACTACGTTTCTCAACAGGTTAACATTCTAGTAAAGGTCACATAGAGTTTTTTTACGTCAGAAGGTGGCTAGCGAGCTTGCGAAACCTAATGTTAAGTGGTAACCTCCGACCATGGACATTTGCAAGAACCGTTGCAGATGCATCTTATAATACAATGGGCTCGGCAACCTCACTCACCTAATATAAAACATTTCTGACTTGAGGCCACGCTCACTGTACAATGACAGTCTTACTACCACATAATGTTTCAAAATATCACTACATAGAATAACAGAACGTCGTCCCGCTGTATGTGTGTCCCTATGCTTGGATCTTTAAAACTGCGCGACGGATCTTGATGCGGTTCTTTTACTAGATAGAATGATTCAAGAGGAAGGTTAATATGTATAATACTTTGCACCCATGCGAAGCCGGGGCGGGTCGCTAGTGTAGGTATAGATTAGACACCAGCTATCATTTGGATCTTCCAGTTGGAAAGCAAAAATCCATGACATAATTTTATTTTATTTGAAATCCGTATTAAAAAAAATTACGGCTCGTGAAATGTAAACAGCAATTCTTTGCGATACAAAATACGTAACTTAAGTTGCAACATGAGTTCCAAATCTTTTCCACACATTTATGCAGTTGAATAAAAATATACCGAGCATTTACAAGTTCTTGGCAAGCGATTTTTGGCATACGAAATGCATAACCGCCACATCTGAACCCATATTTTATACGGAGTCACCGTCGAACGGCATGTCTGAATTCGTCTGATATACAATTGCAGAAGAATTGTGCAAATATGTCACGGTTGTTGTGGAATATGGCGCAGATTTGTGATGAGATTTCCTGCTGACGTCACGAGAATTTTTAAATATATCTCGGGCACTTCTGAAATTTATACCCGGTCTACATACGTCTTAGCAGCTATGTACGGTTCACGTAATTTTTGAAGATGCTCCTTTTTTGTTTTGGTTGTTTTCACAATGTATTCAGTATTATTTTGAATACTTTTAGTCACATTCGTGTTTCGTAAAAAGTATGAAGTGTAAATAGTGTTCCTAACAAAGAAACAACTGTCAATGTAGAGCGAAAGAGAAATGTTGAACAGAAAATCTATATTACCATTATGTTGTTGTAAACATTGTTATGCGACACTGATCAAAAGCAATTGATTTCTATATTCCTTCTGTGTGGATCGGAATAAAAATAAACAAAATAATTGACGATAGCCGGGGTTAACTATAACATCAAGGCGTATAACAACTTAGTCTGTCCCGTGACCATGAACGCTGGAAAGGGTTCGAAACGTCGGGAATTTAAATGAAAATTAATTTAATTTCTATATTCTATTCTAATTCGCCCGTGAAATAGGTAGAGCTATAAGAGTAGAATGTAAATTGAGGGTAACTCATTTGTTTCAGGCGGAGTTGGTGGCCGTTGAAGGGAAGGAGATTGAAACGCACTACGTTCTGGCGCGGGAGCGCATCAAGCGTTGGAATTCAACTTCGAAATGCTACATCCTCGTTGAGAATCTACCGACGCCACTTCAGGTTTGACGAAATTAAATTTTCAACGAAGAAAAATTAAATTTACTGTTGGCATTTTATGAAGATGTTTCTTCTTAGTGTAGTGAAGTGAGAAGGAGCAACAGTAGTTTACAGATTTAATTATCATAAACGTTATTCCCCGGAAGTCGTTATTACCATTACGTTTGACATTTACCTATAATTACAAAAATAACAACTGTTTTACATTTACCTATAATTCCAAATTATAACCGTTATCGATTGCATTTAATGTTTTTTACACAACCAATGAGTAATGGTACAGATTTTTTTTATGTGAGAAGGTGGTAAACGTACCGGTCCAACAGATGTTAAATGATAACCGCCCATTGAAATTTGCAACGCCCGTGTGGTTGCTAATGCGTTGAAACCTTTAATAAAACGGGACCCAGTTTCCTCACTCACCAGACGAAACGCAGAAATATAACACTTCAACTTCAAGCCAGTCTTCTGTGAGATCGTGGTACTAGCCCGGACGAACCCGGACATTATTGCAACAGTGAAGATTGTTGCGTGGCCCTAACACAGTTAGGCTTGGGCCACTTAACGACATCTTTTTTTATCGAAAAAAGGGGGCAACGACGCAGGAGGCTCACCTAATGAAAAGCGATCACCACTGCGAATGAACATCTGCCGGCCTTTCGGGAAAGAATACGCTCTCTTCTCGAAGGTTCCCAGGTCGTAAGGATTCGCAAAGGTGTTGATATCCCTTGAAATTTACAGGCTGGTGGCGTTGCGAGCGCCAGTGTATGGTCGTCGTGCGGCTGCCGACAGCGGCTTTTGGCGGCGGTCACCAGCGGTGGCAGGGCGGTACACTGGGCGGCGGTACCGGCTCCGGGAGACGCAAACAACGACGACTTGTGCCGCTTTAATTACACGTGAGTGTCACCTTCATCGATATAGTCGAAAATTATTGTTTATTTAGGTCTCTTACGCGTTTCTGTAATGTACACGCCTCGGTTATCGTTGTGGTGGTAGTTAAAGAAGTTACATCAAATTAAAAGCATAGACGAAATGCCTTTCCTAGTTACGTTTATAATTACTTTTCTGCTAGCTTCAATTTTATGAACAATTGTAAAGAAGTACAATAAAATGGCAATGGTCTGAATTGCATTATCCCATTTCTCTGCCTTGATAAGTTCTCATATTAAATAAGCAGTGATGATCTATTGGATTCTACTCAAGGAGGGTTGACGTCAGGCAGGCGGCCGGTAAAAAATGTAACCAAAACCGCTGACAACATGATTCCGCTGACAACATATATTGACTAAGGCGTTGAATTTGTACTCTTACGTCACGGCGCCTAATGCCTGTGCCGTGCCTCAATTAAAAAAATTTTTGAATTACTTATTTTGATTTAATTACCCGCTGATATTTTATTGGGTACTGTCAATAATCTTTGCAATCAATTACATTTAAGTACCTAGCTCTAACCTATGACTCTCAAATTAATGATAACGAAGCTGATGCGAAATGCTGACGACAAATGGACGACAACAGCTCCAAACAGTAGTCGAAACTGAAACATAATTTATTTACAGGCTCAAAATAAGGGCCAATACCTTGCTCCTAACGTTGCCCAAATCCCACTTTGAATTTTGATCCTAAACTATTGCTAGCTCTTAAACTTTTACATCATTAATTTTGCTTTAAATCCAACTAATTAATTTGCTACAAACTACTTAAGTTGAACAGTTTAAAACAACCTCTCTGGGGCTAGGTTATATTTTTAAATGCACTGAAGGTTCTTTTTAAAACGTCGATAATTAGTCTTCGAGGATTGCTTCAGTTAACGAGAAACGGGAGCATAAAAAGTAGCAATAAATAAGCTACTCTGTAATTAAGGGGGTAGCTTCCCTCATTGTAACCTCGCATCTCCGGTGAATCAATGAGCTTCTAAATGGGGGGTTTATAATTTTAGCCTCCTTATTTTTTATATTTAATATCGGGAAGTGTATTAAAAGATATCGATTTTAATATTAAAAGTATCATCTTTACTATACATTTTAAAACAATTATAATTTCTTGCATTTTGTAACTATCAAGATGCGATGATGTAAAGGTTGTCCAGAAAAAAAAACAAATGCCAAAATTAGATATACATGAAATTGGCTTTAGTGGTTTAGGTGCATTTGGTTTTTGATATCTGTAGAACAGCAGATAAATATAAAGTATAAATATTACATAGAGCATAGCCAGATGCTCTAGGTGAAATATTATAAACTCGTTTTTTAGCATTTATTTACAACAAGAATTTATTCTACACATATTATAGAGAAATGTAAAGAAACACTTTATTTCACCTCTGAAACAAAGTCAGACCTCATTAATAAGAGGTATCTCCTACTCTGTACCTATATCTAATGTTTTTTATTATTCGTAAATTGAACGCACATTACATTATAAGGTAATCAAATTTTTAAAAGTGAACTCCATATACTATAATATTTCATACAAAGTTATATAAATGGTGACGTCTGCCAACCAAAGAAATACTTACACACTCCTTTTTTGAGAATAAGTTTAATTTGCTGACATAAATTAAGATCAACAACTCTTGTGTCAATATTAAGTGTTTCATCATAGTTTTTACCTATACACGTCGATAATATTTAACCGTTATATGTATTTTGACCGATAATAATTATGTATTCTGTACAATGTTATATTTCATAACAAAATAAATGGACAAAATACCACTTTTCAAAACACTAAAAACGGTTTGGCTTCTGTAGTCTGTGTCTCTTCGATGTTTGTGCGAGACTAATAGGCGACTAAAGCATAACTTTAGTCTTTGAAAAGTTTAGTTCCTGTGATTTATATGTGCCCTGAGAACGGACAGGGAGTATTTTTGACGTTGACCCATTTATAAAGTATCCGCGATAGCGGTAAACGGTAAAAGTTTGTGAAATAACGCTCTGTTACGTTGCTAAATTGGGCGTTGTTAGACATTTAGTCTCACTGAGAGTGCGCTACGATGGTGTCGTATTGATTTTGTCTTTTCAAAAGTTACCTTCTCATTTTTCTTTTGACTCGTCTGATCATTTCATTCGTTGAAATAAAATATATCCGTTGGAATAAATCACGTCTGTCTTTTTCATTATTTCAGTCTGTTCAATAAAGCACAATTTTGTTCAATTATTCAAATCAGCGGTAACGGAAAACATTGTGGGGTAACCTGTATATTTTCTAAATAATAACAAAAAATAATATATAATAATTCTCAGATATCTGAAGTCCCCCAATTCGCAGTAGGTACAGACCACCTTAATACCTGCTGCACAGAGGAGCCAGCAGTGGCACATATATAGACTGTTATTTTACTTTCATTTAGACTGTGTCATCGTACTTGGTAAAAAGGTCAGTGGGTTTCGGTTGTGGGTTTATGCGGTCCATGAAACAAAGCCGAAGACCATCGCAATCAACGCAATCCCGGTCACTATTCAGAGGGTTAACGAGCGCCTACATTGAAACAATGGAATACACAAATCAATGTAAATGGTGCACGGCCGCCTCATCTGTGGACACATAACAAATTGTTCGGGGAGCACTGTGGCAAGGCCATTGTCCGAGTGCTTTGCGCGGCTACGCTCCGTATTGTTACAATGATATAAAACGGCCAAGGGTATCTGCTAATTGCAGCATGCATATGCAAATCGAAACTTATTGAAGCAAATTCAATAATGAACTCTAATATGATTCCGAGTAATGTTATTTATAACTAGCTGCTGCCCGCGACTACGTCTGCGTAAAATAGGCTGAAGGCTTAACATTCAGACAGAAAGACAGATATACATAAAATATGTGTATAAATTATAGCCTATGTCTTATACTGATGTATAAAATGTGTATAAGATGATGTATATTATTGCTAAGTTTCATGAAAATCCATTCAGTAGTATTTGCATGAAAGAGTAACAAACATCCATCCATACATACAAACTTTCGTCTTTATAGTATTATAAAGTAAGGATTTAGTATTCTCGTGAACACTTATTTTCATTTACTCGCTGAGGTTTTTCCCCACAGAATAATATTTCACTAACTGTTGAACATCATGTTTGAGTCATTTACCCAAAAATATTACTTGACTACTATCTCACCTGAAGGGAAGTGAGACTTAATCTTAGATGGTAAACGCGCTAGCTCTGTAAGAGCCTATTCGAAAGGGAAAACTGAAGCTGACAAACTATACCACTCCTTTGGTGAATGTCAACAACATTCCGGCACAGGGTCTAGTTGTCCAATGATGTAATTGGAAGGAGGGAATAGTATTATTCAATTCTTGTGTACATTTTTTTCAAAAAACATGAATTTAAGTCTCTCAGGATCGCAGATTTCGATTCGAATCCCTAAAAATATTTATATGAAACCAACTAACTTCATACCATAACACAAAGACATTCATAACAATTTTTGCATATTTCTACGTTTCATAGCCCGCACAAAATGAACGACACAAACTAGCAATAAAGATATTTAAACGAGATACTATAGAAACTTCATCAAAAAGGTAATTTTTCGGAACAAAATGAAGATAATATTCGGTCGTCCGAGATTGCTTTTCCTAGCTGGAAATGGGAGTAAAAAATACTAATAAATAAGCTGGCCTGTAATTAAGAGGGAACCATTTTCCGTGTCCACGACCCGAGTTGAATCTATAATGGGGAGGGATCCTCTTGTATTTTTCTTTCCTGATTAAAATTTATATATAGTTTACAACGTAAACTTTAATATAACTTAAATTTATACCGAAGGAGATAAAATTTGGTGAAATTCAAACTTATGTTTTTATACGAGCAAGGTAATTTTTTTTTTTTTTTTTTTTATGTGAAAAGTTGCCAAACGAGCAGATGGTTCACCTGATGGTAAGTGAATACCGCCGCCCATGGACATCTGCTACACCCGAGGGTTACAGATGCGTTGACAACCTTTTGAAAATTGGGCTCCGGTTACCTCACTCACCAGACGAAACGCGAAAGTATTTGTCATACTTCCACTTTACGCTGGTCTTCTTTGAGGTCGTGGTACTTACCCGGACGGGCCTGCCCATTCGTGCAACAGCCGAGGCTGTTGCGAGGCCCTACCACCGTTAAATTACGTCTCCCAGTATTTTCTTAAGATATCTAAAGACCCTTTCTTCAATAGAATTAAGGGGTATTGAAAGGGTCAATGATTCAGTTGCCAAGGTATTGGCTTCGGCGTCGGGGGTCGTGCGTTTGATTTTTATTAACAACAAACAAAACCGACTTCAAATGACTATATATTTTGTATTTGATTTTGAGATTAACGGGACTCCCCTGAAGTGTCTCCAGAGAGCAATTTCATTGACATTTGACCTTAACTACCACAAAAACTACATGGGAGTTAAACCGAATCCAATGCAAAAATAATTTTTAAATTCGGTTCATAAATGACGGAGTCCTGAGGTAACAAACATAAAAACTACAACCGAATTGAAAATATATTCTCTATTTTACAAGTCGATTAAAAAGGAACCTTTGTTTGTCGCTACCTTGTAATACCTTATTTTCTTCGCTCACTAACTGCGTCATCGCAATATTCATGTTTATAAAACACCCCTTGACGTAGAGATAATCCTATATCCTAGCGGGTATCGCTTTAGAAAATTAAAAAAGTAAATAATTAACTGCTAAATTACTTGGTGAATATGGCTTTTTCAGTTTCCATGTTTAAAGAAAATCTGTGGACTTCGTCACGGACCTTTTTAACAATAAAACACATGATAAATTAGGCGTGGTGGTCACTTCGTTCGCGGACATTTTACAAATTGTTTGAGACCGCAGCGAGACCGCCATTGTCCGTTGAACGCTCGGCACTTTTTTGTGTCATTAGATGACTAACGTACGAACTACAG